AAATTCGCCTCTCTTTGCTACCCTCGTAATTAATATTCAATAGTTTTTATCGTTCGTTCCATTCATTTGGAAAATAAAACTTTGAATATTCGAATCGGATAAAAAGAAAACGCTCGCTCGAAACATCCTGCTCGATATTCAATAATTTTCATCCTCTCCTCTTCCTCATCCTCCTTTCCGAAAAATGAAAGATCGACGACCCGAAACTCCGAGCCGGAATGAAACGCTTAAAAAGAAGAACAACAAGAAGAAAGCAAACAAACAAACAAAGATTGCAACAATTTGTACAACAACGAGCCAATTATTATACATAAAACGTATCGTGCGACATAACTATGATAACAATTATTTCAACAACAACAACTGTAACAACAACGAGCGGTTATTAAATTATTCCGGTCACGCTCGCGTTGAAAACAGAAACTGATGCGGATAAAGATCGGGGTAAGGAATAAGAAGTAAGAGGGAGGGGAGGGGGCGGCGGAAGGTTCGATAAAAAAAGAAGGAACGACGCGAAGTCTCTGCCCGTTTTACCGAACGCAATAAAAATACCGGGTAACACAAATGCCGGGGCGAGAAGGAGAGGGGCGGCGATCGAGGGGGGAGGGTGGGGGGGGGATGAGGGAGTGAGAGAAAAATAGAAGCGTGGTTGGTGACGTCACGTTGAACGACGGCGGCCGAGGTGGGCCAACGTGGGGAGGAGAGAGGAGGAGGAGGAGGAGGGAGGGGGAGGTTGAACGGCTTTCCATGATGTCATTGACTACGCGGCACCTGGTGGGGACGCACGAAAAGGGGTACACGATCTCGGGGAAGGAGGAGGGTGGGCGTATCAGGAACAAGGGAAGGGGTGGAACACAAGCACCGCTATTCTTAGCCGCTTCAAACACCGTCGTCCTCGCGCGGTTGCGTAACAACACCAGGGAGAGACCACTCGAGACCAGGTTTTTCGCGAAATGGCCACGAAATCCGGCGATGGGCCGCCGATCGTTTCGCATCCGATTCTCGAGAAAGGAGAAGGAACTGGGGCCGATTTTTGCGGGGAGGGAGTTGAACACGCGTTCGTTTTTCTTTTTCTAAATTATTTTGGAAATTTTGGAATGTTGGATATATAAATTTGCGAAATTGTAGAACAGGAAGAAAACGTGCTTGTTTTCTTTTTCTTAAATTTTGGAAGTAAAATTTGAGTTGGAGAGGGGAATCATTGACCTTTTGTGTATTCGATTCTGAGAAATTTCTCAACAAGATATCGAGTAACTTTAACAACGGATGCTGATCGTAATGGTGACCAAGAGATTTCGGCAGAGAAACTAACGAGGCTCTCGAGATTCCTTTAATCAATCGGTATAATCGACACGTATGCGGCGAGAATAGTTTCAAAGTCGGCGCGAAGATCGATTAATTTTCCATATACTTTGGCAATCCTTCGAGGTTATACGAAAAGGGCTTAAGATTAACTCGAGCTAACTTTATATTCGCGCTAAAGGAATCTGTTTTCTTATTCTTTCGAATTCTATCTCGCGTAAACCTGTCATTCTTCGTATTTCTTGCGTACAATCAATTGGAACGATATCGCAGAAAAATCGAAGGTCGTGTGTTCGTTCGAGGATCCTGTTTTCGCGTCCTTGCGCTACTCTTCTCTTCGTTGAAATTCTTTTCCTCGACGTTTCTTTTTTTTTTTTTTTTTTTGTCCCTTTTTTGTTCCTTTTCATCGATAGAATTCCTTTTATGGTGTTCCTAAATTGTTTCGTATCGCTGAGCTTTTTGTTCGCGATCCATTTTTCATCCCAGAATTCCACCAACGTCTCGTCGTCTTTGATGGAAGAAACTTGCATCAATATGCACGTTGTACAGAGTAGTACAATCCTTATCGATTTCCTTCCCTTCGATTCACTCGCATATAATGCACATATCGCATTATCCGCGTTGAATGGACGAAGCATCCCCGATTATTGAAGTGGCAATTAAAATAAATTAATAGAGAGAGAGAGAGGAGGAGAGAGAGAGAGAGAGAATTAAGACAATCGATCGATACTAAA